TCCATCCTCCTGGTCCTGTTGATCCATCCTCCTGGTCCTGTTGATCCTGGATCATCAGATCCTGACATGTCCCCGTCCTCTGAGGACACATTTTCATCTTTCCCTCATCTCACTCACCTCATTTCTGTTTCTTCCTCAGTCTCTGAAATTACAACGTCACTGTTAGAATGAAGATTATTGTTCAATAAAAAATATGACATGTCTTGATCACTGGTCAGATCACTGGTCAGTGGAAGTTCTGCTGTTCTTCTCATCTGGTTCTGGTCCATGAACAAATGGTTGAACCTCCTTCAGTCTCACTCGTCCTCACTGTGTCTCTGTCTCACTCGTCCTCACTGTGTCTCTGTCTCACTCGTCCTCACTGTGTCTCAGTCTCACTCGTCCTCACTGTGTCTCTGTGAACTGTCCTCTCTCTAAATGTGCCTGTAGAGTGACATTAGTTTATTTTCTTGAACATTTCTTTGACAGTTAAACATTTTGAGCCCTGATTGAAAATGTTTGTGCAGATTAAACTTCCAGCTCTCACTTTGTGTTGTTGTGATGATGATGATGATGATGATGGTGCTCCTGCTGACTTGAGATGATGTCATTAATAAACAGTATAAATGTCAGTAAAAGTACTTTATTAAAGCTTGCTTTACATTTTACATATGTTATAATTGTTTGGAAATTTATTTTTGCACAGTTAACACTTATTTTGTCATCTGTTATGATTTTAACTAGAAACCGTTTCATTTAAATTAACATTTTAATCAATGAGTTACAGTTTTACAATAGTTGTCAGGCTACAATCAACTCAGTTATCAGGTACTTGGTTGCCATAAAAAAACGACAAATACAACAATTATATTCAGGTCTCTCTTGTAAATGAGTCCTCGTGGCTCAATGGGACGAACCTGTTTAAATAAAGGTTGAATTAATATCTTCTATAGAAATCAAGAATTCATCCAGATGATCTGAGGTAAGCTGGAGCAGATCTGAACTGCTGCATGGAGGACAAGGTGGAGCATTCTCATGCAGAGAAAATCACAAATAGTTTTATAACAGGAGTTACTCTGATCTTTTTTTATTGTGTGTAACGTTATAAAACACTGATATGGCTATATTGATCATTGTATTGCATATACATTATTTTTTCTAACAAATATGTGTTTGCATTCTCGTTTCCTTCTAAAATTTAATGATAAATGTATCAGCCGCTTCTAAAAATGCTTTGATAAAATGCATAGTTTGTGAAATAATCAATAATCGGTTAAGTAATCAGTTCGTTACTGCTCAATAATTACTGAAAGACGCCAGGTAAAGTAAGAAAAGTCGATTTATGTGTTATGTTGCGCCAGCAGCCGCTCAAACTGACTGACAGCGATGAGCTGTTTGGAACTATGGGGAGCTGCATGAACCACGTGACCGCGTATCGGCGAGTTCAAAGAGTGTCGCAACTCTCTCTTTACAGGGCTCTGCCTCTGATTAAAAGAACAGCCCCCCCCCCCCCACCCCCAAAAAACAAAACAAACAAAC